TTCATCATATCAGGGAAGTTCTCTTCCAAAAACTCTTGGACAATTTTCTCAGTGGTTTTATTTTTCTTTTCCTGTTCTGGAATTCCAATTACTTGTAAGTTATTCCTTTTGATGGTATCTCACATGAATCTTAGGCTTTCTTCATTTTGTTTTGATCTTTTTTTCTGATTGACCCCTTTCCAAGGAAGTATTCAGGTATTTGTCTTCAATCTCATTAATTCTGTCTTCCCTTGATTCGATTCTACCCCTTTGCCCTTTCAATGTGTTATCTATTTCTGACAATTTAGTATTAATCTTCCAGATCTCTATCTGTAGACTTTTCATTTATTTTGTCATTTTGTTCTTGTATTTCCTTCTGAAATTGTTCTAGGGTTTTGTCTGTGTTTTCCTTAATTTTGTCAGTGTTCTCCTTGATCTGTCTGTCAATCCATTGAAGGTACCTAAATATAATTCTTTTGAGTTACTTATCTGGGAGTTCCAATGTTGCTTCTTCCTCAGGGATGTGTTCTGGATCTGTATCTTGCTGCCTTGTTTCTACTGTTTTATCTTGCTTTCTTGTGTGGACTGTGATGCTCTGTTGTCTTTGAGACATTGTGAAGTCATTGTATTTATATTTATTTGGTGATTGTATGTTGGAGTGATTCACACAAGAGTTTCATTTTCTTTTCTTTCTTTTTCTTTTTTTTTTTTTTAACATATCTGAGTAACCAGGGTATTGTTCTCCTCTATTGGTTAGTTGGCAGCACCTATGCACTTACCACCTGCCTCCTGGTGGGTGTGATAGAGAATGAGAATGGCTGCACAGATCTCTGTTAACTGTTTGTGAAGAGCAGTTAAGGGTGAGTCAGGCTCTTATTGGTGGTTGTGTATCATTGGCCAGTTGGGGCAGAAGTAAGTGGTGGCTCTCAGTAAGTGGAGTTGCAGGAGATATGGGTGTGGTTGGGTCATATGGGCATGTTTGCTCTCTCCCACTCAGTTAGACAAAAACAACAATCAAAAAACAATCCAAAAAGTAAAAGCAAGAGGACAGAAAACACACATCACATAAACACACAGGAACAATCACCAAAAAGAGAAAAAAGAAAAATGAAAAAGAGGAAAGGCAATAAATGAGAGAAAATATTTAAAGAAATGCTTTAAAAAGCCAAAAGAAATATGAATATAAAAAGGAGGAAAAAAAACCCCTGCAATATCTGAGGAGGGGGAAATGAAAGAAAAGAGCTAGAGTAGGAGAGTAATGAAGAAAAAGTGGGAAAAAAATACAAAAAGAAAAACAAGGAATGGGGAGAACCACAAGAAAGAGAAAAATGAGAACCAGGAAAAGGGACGAGAGAAAAAGCTGAAAACTAGACCCTGGGAAGGGAAGAAGAAAGAATAATAATAAGAAACATGAAAAAAAAATTAAAAACTGACAGAAACAAACAAACTGGAAAAAAAAGCAAAAAAGTCTGGGCATAGTGGGGCAGGGCACCCAGGTTCCATCAGAGCACACAGACTGGTATGGAATTCTTGCCAGCCCACAAGGTCTGTGGGAGTGAGGGATGGGCACACCTCCGTTCACCAAGAGAATGTGTGGTTAAAAAAGAGTAACAAGAGGAATATTGCACCTTTCCAGTCCTCAATGTCTGGTATGTCCTTGTGGTCTCAGCAAGTGGAGCCTATTCTTAGGTCCCTGGAATGTGAGAGAATGCTGTCACTTTAACTATCCAAAATGGTAGAACCGTTTGTAAGCATTCAAAATGGCTGCACCCTCTGGACAGCCACAAGTTCACAGCTCAGCTTATCTCCCTCTTTGCTGCTACCCTTTTTATTCACCAGCTACCAGTGCAGTCCTCCATGCAGCCCTTGACTAGCTGGGTCGATTTTTAGGTCTGGTAGCATAGTGCCTAAAGCACTTGACAGCTAACCAGAAGGCTGGTGGTTCAAACCCATCAGCCACTCCTCAGAAGGAAGGTTGGGCAACCTACTTCCGTAGAGATGCCGCCTCGGAAGCCCAAGGAGGGGTCGCTATGAGTCGGGGCCGACTCGACGGCATATAACAACAACAACAACAACACTTGGCAATATTGAAACTGTCCATGTAATCAGGATCACTGATAGCCCACAGCTCCATAGGTGTCCTTTTTTGTTTTCATGCAGGCTCTTCTACTAGTTAGAGTGTAGTCCACTTGTGTACACTTACTTTCAAAGCTCAGGGCTCCAGGATTATCTTCTGTATCTGTGTTAATTGGTTCCTCTTTTCTTAGTTTAGAGCATCTGTGTAATTTGTCTGCCTATTCCTCCATCTTACAGGAACCCCCCCCCCCACACTCCATCACTCTTGGATCTCTAATAGGTTTTTAAATTTAAATTTATTTATTTTTGTTTTCTCACAGAAATTTGTTGTCTCACAATTCTAGAGGCTAGAAGTCCAAATCAGGGTATCACTTGTGTTGATTCCTTCTGAAGTGCTGAGAAAGAAACTGTTCCCTGCTCTCTTTTAGCTTCTGGTGACTCCCAGCAAATCTTGGTATTCCTTGGCTTGGGGATACATCTTGAGGTGGTATCTTCCCCATGGCTCTCTCTGTCTGTTCTTTTTGTATAAGACATTATTCATATGGGATTAGGATCCACTGTACACTGTTATGACACTCTGTGCTCTCTAAGTAGTTGTAAGGAGATGTCAGCCCATAGCCACCAAAGAGTGAGCATCTCTCCCTTCTCCAGGCTGCCATAGTGTGCTTACAAACAAGCCTTGGTTCAACTTCTGAGGGGGTGACATTTTGTTAAGTATGAACTATGTATCTGCCTGTCTCTCTCCCCGTCCTTCCTTTCCTGTTTTCTTACTTAAATAATATTATTGTGGTGAAATATATACAAGAAAACATTTGCCATTTTAACAATTTTTACAATTCAGTGACATTGATCATGTTCACCATGCTGTGCAACTATCATTATTATGTTTCCAAATTTTTCATCACCCTTAACATAAAAGAATTCCAAGCTGCACTGAAGGAATTGGCAAAAAGCAAGGATCCAGGAATGAATGGTATAACCAGTGAGATTTTTCAGCCAATGAATGTGGCACTGGAGGTGCTCATTTGGCTGACCGCCTGGAAAAGATCTATGTCGGTGCCCATTCCAAGGAAAGACGATCCCACAGAATGCAGAAGTTATTGAACAATATCATTAATATCACACACAAATAACAGTTTACTGAAAATAATTTAAAAATGGTTGGACATGTGCATAAAGCCTTCCAGGTCTCCACCCAAATCTCTGTTCATTTCTCTGTCTTCCATCAGCTTGTTGCAACATGCTAAGCACAAAAGCTATGCTTAACATAAAGTTTTTCAGAAAAGTTGAAAATAAAAGGCCAGACTATTATATACCAGGCAAATTCTAACTGAAATAATGGTAACACAGCAGTGTAATTTTAGTTAAAATGTAATCCTCTGATCATAATGGAAGAAAATTAGAAATCAATTCCAAAGTGCTAGACAGCCCCCATGCTTTTGGAATTAAAAAGAAAAAAAAAAAGCCTTTGAAATAATTCACGAGTCAAAGAAAGAAAGAATGGAAATTACAAACATTAAGAATGGACAATGTAGCTTTGAGACCCTGTCTCACTTTGGGGACTCTGTCTTGGTTCCTGGCCATAGGTAGGTGTGGTACATGGAATTCTAAGAAAGCCTGCAAGATTCCCACCCTTTAGTGTACTGGGCCCTGTGTAATACCTGGTCCTTGTGTCTGGGCAATACATGTGAATATAGTCCGATATTGGGTCCACTATTAAGTTGCTAATCAGTTGAGTTTGAGTTAATCAAATGGAAGATTATCCTGAGTAGTCCTGACCTAATCAGGTGAGGCCTTAAAAGGAGATAAAGCATCAGAGACATTCTCCTGTTGACCTCAGAGGAAAAAAGCAAATAGCAAATAGCCATGTTGTGAACTGCAGTATAAAAAGGGGTAGCCTATAGGAATTGAACATGGATCCTGGTGACAGCTAGCCAGTGAGCAGAGACCTCAGTGATACAGCTGCAAGGGACTGAATCTGCCAACAACCTGAATGAGCTTAAAAGAGAACTCACTGGATTCTGTCCTTGTTCCATCAGTTAACGCCCAATTCTGAACAATACTCATGGACTGTCCAGTGTTAGTACCCCACCCTCCTATTCCACTGTGTGTTCCTTCTCAATTTCTAGACCACAGAGAATTTACTTTCTTGTTTAAAAGTACGCTATATGTTTTTTTAATTTTTTTTAAAGGAGCTCTGGTGGGACAGTGGTTAAAGCATTTAGCTGCTAACCAAAAGTGGGGTGGGAGTGGGGAGTAGGTGTTGGGGAAATGAGGCAGTCTGCTTCCCTGAAGACTGACAGCCTTGGAAACCCTCAGGGGCAGTTTCACTCTGTCTTCTATGGGTGCTGTGAGTAGGAATGGACTCCACAGCAGTAGATATATATATATATTTTAATTTGAAGTATTTTATTTATGAATTTTATATAGTTGAAATTAGAGGAGGATGTTTATGCATATGCTTCATTTGACATGTAGGCTCAGAAATCACAAAGAAATTAAATTAGGCTTCCCAACGTGAAGAGCTAAGAGATCAGACTGACTGGAAGGCTATGTCAAGACTGAAAGTTTTCTGAGGTCTACCATAAAATCAACCTGATTTCTGTCAATACAAATGTCTCCAGACTTCATTGTGGATCAGAGAATGGGTTTGAAATTAAATATGGCTCACATTTACCAGCCTTCCCCAGATTTCCAAGCCCATCCTTTGCCATTTCTTAATATGCTGACATAAATGAAGTAAATAATTCCATAGTAAAGTTTTCAGGTCATATATGAAGCAAGCAAGGGGAATCTTTGCAAAACCTCTCCAGACAGTTGGCAAAATAGGTGCTTTGCATTGGAAGATGAGTTGGATGCCAAGAAGGAAGAATCCCCAATCTGCCATAAATAGGCCAATAAAATAGATTGTCTCAAGTAAAATAGTATCCTGAAAAACGCTGTACCTTGGAGGAGCCAGTGTCTGCTCTAGAAACTCCTCAATTTTAATGAAGTCTGTTTTCAACTCCTTGTTATACACCAGGAATGGAGGACTGGTGCCTGGGGCCAAGTCCTTCAACTCTTCAGGTTTTCTGTGATTGTTGACAAGAAGCAGAGTTAGGCTTATAGTTAAAGTGCACATTAAACACCAAGATTGCATTGCTGGCCACTGATCTCAAACCCCAGCATTACACATGCTCTGATTTCTCTTACCTGGTCATGTCAACAGTGGTCACATTGAACTTAACTCCTTTAAGCCAGAGGACCATGAAAAGGCGTTGGCAAAATGGACAGTTTCCAATACTCTCCCCATCACTCCCAGCCTATTATGATAAAGAAAGGTCTTTGTTCATTCATTCATTCACACATTCATTCAACAAATATATGAGTGCCTACTGGGAACTGAGCTAGTTGCTGGGACACAATGGGAAGTCGTTACTCTCATAGATTCTAAAATTTACAAAGAGAAATAATGAATGCAATCATCTCTTTACATGTAAAATTACTAATATGTTGAGTACATAATAATAATAAAATTTTTTATATCACCAGAATTTATATTACCATTCCTCTATTGATGGACATTTAGGATATTCCAAAATTTTTCATTTTGAAGAGTCCTGCCAAATTTAATTTCTGAAAAGTGAGCGTCTTTCCATATCTTCATCGACCAATTGATTTCCTTATTTTGTGAATTATTTTGTTCCTATCAATCTTCAATTTTTCTATTAAGGTAATTCCTTCTTTTCTTTATTAATTTGGAAAAATTATCTGTATGCTAAAGAGATTAACTCTTTGTGATGCATGTTACATGTAATTTTAAAAACATGTTTTTTGTAAATTTTAAATTTTACATAAAATCTATTCTTTACCTCTATGCATTCTTTCCTCTTTGTGTTGCTTAGAAAGTATTTATATAAATAAATATTACAAAAAACTCATTTTCTTATTTTATCATAAAAGTCTTCTGTTTTGTTCTAGTAACTTTATATGGTTTCATTTTTGCATTTGTTTGATCTATGTGGAATTTATTTTGGTGTAAAGGGTGCATTAGGACTCTCGCTTTAGTGTTTTTTCTTTCTTCCTTTGTCTCTCTCTCTTTCTTTCTACAAATAATTAGTAGTTGTCTTAACACCACTTATTAAAATATCCATCTTTCTCCCATTGATTGAATGTAATATTTTTGTCAAAAACGCCTTTTAAATTTTATATATACTGGAATTTATCTGTGGACCCTCTATTCTTCATTCATCCCTTTGCTCATCCAATAAGCATTCAGCGAACAGTTATGATGTGTTTAACATATACTAGTCACTAAAAAGATGATAGTAAGCAAAACCAGCTATTAAAATAAAATTTAAAAAAGTCCCCAAAGTAAAGTGTAAGTTATAAACTGAAATATATTCTTTGAAGGAAGGAAATACATGTTACGAGAGTATGTAACAGTGGAACCTAATCTGGGTGGGGTCTGTCAGGCAAGACCTTTCCTGAGGAAGTGGCAGTTGAACCAAATTCAAAGGATGAATAAGAGTCAACTAGGTGAATAGACATGAAAAGGGCATTTTAAACAGAAGAAATAGCAAAAGGCTTGCAACAGACTTGAGTATGGCACATATAAGCAAGCAACTGAAAAAAGCCCAATGTGACTGGGATTCAGGGAGTGAGGGAGAGAAAAGAAAAATTTGATAAATTGGGCTACATTAAAGTTAAAATCTGCTTTTCAACAGAACTGTTAAGAAACTGAAAACGATCTTGTATCCAACATTTATAAAATACATAATTAAAGAACTCTTGCATCACTCGTCTGTCAGTTTGCTGCACTGTGGCGGCTGGCATGTTGCTGGGAGGCTGGAGGCGATGTCACCCATGGGGGACAGGTTTGAGTGGAACTTTCAGACGAAGACAGATTCGGAAGAAGGAAGGGGCCATCCACTTCTCAAAGAATTGGGCAATGAAAACCTTATGAATAGCAGTGAAACACTGTCTGATATGTTACTGGAAATCTTTATGAAT